CTCCTCCTCCCACTCCCACTCCATCAGCACCAGCCCTCCAGAAACCATGCGGTGCTAAGGCTGCTGTATTTCTAGCCACTGCTTCGCGGCAGCAGCTCCTGATCCTGGAGTAAAAACATTCAAAAATGTATTTTGATGTGGAAAAAACAACAACCCAGTGTTTCCTCAAACGCATTCCTCACAGGAATATATTTATTCCTTGGTGAAGATTTCATCAATGCCAGCTAAGTCTGCCCCCCCCCCCGGTTTGATTACCTCGCTGGAATTGTCTTTGTCCTTTTTCACCGTTCAACCTTTTCTTTCTGATTCTGACACTGTCACCCTGCCAGAGGAGGAAGTGGTAGACGTAGCAGCAGCGGGTGGGTGGAAACCCAGAAACATGACAACAAGGGAATGAAGAAAGAAAAGGGAGGAAGGATGGGGGAGGACCTGCTGGCTTTGAGCCAACTTTAGTGGAATTCATAGATATGGGGAGGAGAGGGAGGACGGACGGAGCAGTAGTTCCTCTGCATAATCAATCAAAACAATAGAGGATGAGAGCTGGTGGTCGTGCCTTTCTTGACAGGGCTGATTGCATTTATGCGAGGATGGACTGGGGGTGGGGGTGAGGGGGGCAGAGAGGAGGGGAGGTGCCATTAAAATGGACCGGGTAGTAAGATGTGGCTAGGTGCAGGGAGGGCTGTTATGGGTGGCTCTCACTGCAAAGCCGAGGACATTTACCCCAAGAGGAACTGATTGAATGCCACACCAATAAAAAGAGGCAGTTTCATGCGCCATTGACCGTGTTGGCATCTCCACAGTCACACTGTGATGAAACCCACTCGGAGGTCATGAAAATGTGAATCACATTTTGTTCCCCGGTGGGACGTACTGTTCTCTGACGGAATTAAACGCCACCTTTAAAGATTTAAAGATTTTTTTTTTATTTTATTTCATTATTTTTAGTTGTATTTTCTCTCCACACTTTATGGCACAGAGCTGTAGTCCTCATCGTGTGTCAGAGCAGAGAGTGGGGGAGATCACATGGCAGGTTTGTGTGGAGAAGTGAAAAGATCAGGTTTTAAGTCACAGTGTGTGGGGAAAATAATCCTGTTGGAGCCTGCAGCGTGCTCACAAGCAGCCAGATTGCCCTTTCATTTTCTCTATAGATGGCGCCGCGTGTCCCAGTGTGGCCTAATAAAATGCTTGTCTTGTATCTCCTCAGCCATGAACTTTTTCTCCATCACAATTACATTTGCTCTGTGTTGCCTGTGTGCCTCGCAGCAGAAATGCAGCGTATTAGCTAAAGCAACGCAGCCGAACTCAAGAAAGTACATTTATATACAATCGGAAATTCTCTGCTCCACATGAAAGGATGTGCAGCGTTAGCCATATTTGAACGTTTATGGAGAGTGTAGAGAAAAAGAGATGGTAAAACATCATCTGAGTTTGAAGTTTTCTCGTCTATTTCCAGACAAAAATCACATTCTGTGGAGTTTTGAGCCTTAAAAAAATTATACGACCTCTTTAGATCGTATGAAAAATGAAAAACAGATTTAATATAACATTAAATGGAATAAGTAAAACGTCCAACTTTACAGATTGTAGACTCCATCGTTAACTTGGGGGGGGGCAGCAGTTAGGCTCCACTGAGTCTTTTAAAAATGGATGAACGGCTCAGTTTTACCATCACATATACAGCATGTTGTAAATGTTTCTGTGATTTTATTTCAAACAGACTATAGTTTGGACTCTCACTTACATGCGGTGAAGTGAGGCCGTGTTCCACTTCTCACCTTCCTGTTGTTTGCTCACAGGTCTGTGGACCACTTCTGGTTTCCTGTTGTTTTGGCCCCTCTGTCTAAGTGTTTGTGGGGGGAAAAAAAGCCACTCGCCTCAGATGTGCATTTTGGTTAATGATGTTAGTCAATTCTAACAGAGACACATTTCGCAGAAGAGACGTTTGTCCCGTTTCTGATTCCTAATATAAAACTTGTTCTACCTAGAACAGTAGTTGTTGGTTAGAACATATAAAAAGTGTGACGTTGAAGTGTTCTTTGAATATCAGGATGTGTCATCTCTGATGAGTGACTTCCTTTGTTAATACATTATGGTTTTTACAACAGGACGAGACATAACATGTTTGTTGAACAGAGGAAAAAAAAGAAGTCATAATGACAAAATAATTAGATGTGTAAAAGACTTCTGAGAAACATCTGCACCTATGCTGCTGAATCTCTACAGCCTCCTGCTGTACATTCAGAGCTGTGAACAACACAAGGACCTTTAAGTCTCCTTCAGTATATATTTGTATAACAATAATATATATATATACAGTATATATAGACGGTTGTGGATAAGCCCCCTGCAGCCCTGTCATCTCCGTCCAGATACTGGGCTCCATCTACTGCTCACTCATGTCTCTCAGTTGACTGTTTTCTCAGTTAAGCCCACCTTATTTACATTTATATGATCAGATTTTCTTCCCTTATGGCAGCTATGTAAATTTGCCCTTTTCTCGAGCCTTGGCCACAGTCTTGTGTAGATTCTTTTTCGTCAGGTATGAGAAAAAAATAATAATAACATTGCCCTCAAGGAGGAAAGAGAGCGGACTCGGGATTCCTGGTTCTCATGAATTTTGTAATGATCAATTTTGTTCATCATATACTCCCTACCTGAGACCAGTATCAGGACACATCATATAAAACCTGAAACCTGTCTATCCTTCACATCACTCCCTCTGTTGTATCCTGCAGGGCTCACATTGGTGGCTTTAAAATTCAAACATAGGTTTGTGTGTGTTGGCAGGGTGAACTCTGGTTGATCGGGTGATACGAGGCAAAAGGCAGAGGTTTTAGTGGCTGTAGTGTTCGTCCGGCTGAAAGAGGAACTCTTTCTGTTTTATTAATATGTTTGTTTCCTGTTTTAGGATCTCTTTCAAAAAACAAAGAACTAACACATAATACTGCAGTACTTCACTGTGATCCTAATCTTCCACAAGGTGAAGTTAAAGTCAGAACATGTGAATAAGCACCAAGCTTTTCCTCAGTCGATGGTACAATAAACAAGGTTAAAAGAACTGGTCCATGAGTTCAGCTGCTGGTACAGTTTTATATAAATTTACCAGTTGATATTATTAAAAATAGTCAATCAAATAATCTTTGAAAAAAACATGAAAAATCAGTCTCTTTAAAAGGTTTGAAACTTCCTCATGGAACTGTACTTTTGGTTGGAATTGCCCGTGTACTATATTGATCCCATATTGCCCCCCAGCAGCCGCCAAGCATTAAGTTCCTCTGGGAATCGAACCCATGACTCTCTGCTTCTTAGACTTTACCGTCTAAAGACACGGTCAATAACGTGTGTCAGTAGCTGCGTGCGTGCGTGTGTGCACCCGGGCGTGTGTCTGGTGGAGGGGTTGGGGGGGGGGAGAGGGGCACTTGAGGAAATTGCTTTCTGCCAGCATATTGCCAGGGCCAGTCTTTATTCCTCCGGAGAGCTGAAGCCTGTCTGACTGGATTTCAACCCTCAACTCTCGGTCTCAGTCCCCCGACTCACCCCCGTTCCACCCTCAGCTCTGCCCCTACCATACTGTACATCCATCCATACCACGGTGTACGAGGCCTGATGTTGAATATTCCACTGACACTCCTCGTCTCTAATCCTCGTCTCTAATCAGCGAATAAGAGATTAATTTTCTCCCCGGCTGCGCTCTGACTGGGCTGTTGATAAAAAAGGAGGAGGGAAAGAAACCACCAGGCAACTGTT